GTCCTTTGTCACCCGGAAACAAGCCTGACAGCAGACTCGTTCACAACAGTTCGGGGGCAGAGTGGGGTGCGGGGCTATCCCTTCTTGGTCTAAGAGTGGGGTCTAAGCAACGAGGAGGATTAGGAGGCTGCGCCCCACCCCCCAACCCCGCTGCTGGCGGCGCTGTGCTGGGGCCCCGCTCCCGGAGGGCTGCTCAGACTGCAGGACTCGATTATGCCGGCTCGCGGGTGGGAGGGGAGCTGTCCCTCTTTCCCACCCCCCACCTCACAGTGACCCAGGCGCCCCTCCGGCCCCCTTCTCCCAGCACCTCGCCAGCCCCGGAGCTACGGGAGGATGGGACGCGGCTTCCGGAGCGCCGGGCCTTGCTCTCCCGGCGGTGGCAGCTGCGTCTCCTGGGGGCGGGGAGGGAGCGCGGAGGGGACAGACGCGGAGGGGCAGCGGGAGCCCCGGCCTCGCCGCGCGGCTTCAAGTTTCCACCCGCGCGCGGTTGTGCAACAGCCGGAGGAGCGGGAGCCGCGGGCGCCTCGGAAAACAAGCAGAGCCCATAAACAAAGCCACGTGGCCTCCGGGCGGGGGGGGGCGGGCTAAGAGCAGGCGGCTCTTCCGGCAACAAAGAGCCGCTGGGGATAAATACTGCGGCTGGGACAGCGGCGCAGCACTCTGCGGGTCCCGCGCGCCTGGAGACCCTCCCAGGCGCAGCGCCTCCTGCCAACGCAGGCATTCAACTCCGCACCCCGAGACCCGCAGATCCCCACGCGAGTTCCCTGCAGCCGGCCCCATCGCCAGCCCCAGCACCCGGAGCGTCCGCCCAGGGCGGCGCGTCCCTGAGGCCGCCAGGCCGGTCCCCTCTGTCAGTCCGTCGCGTCCACCCGTCGCGTCTGCTCGCGGTGCCATGCCGTTCCTCGGGCAGGACTGGAGGTCCCCCGGGCAGAGCTGGGTGAAGACGGCCGACGGCTGGAAGCGCTTCCTGGATGAGAAGAGCGGCAGCTTCGTGAGCGACCTCAGCAGGTAAGGGGTTCCACCCCCAGCTTCCAGCCCCACGAAACAGACCCGCGCTGGTTTCGGGGGGAGGGGGGCGCGAGAAGAGTGAATGGAGGTGGGGGGGGGCAAGCAAGCTTAGAATAGGGGGAGGAGGGAGCCCCTGACTGGGGGATGGGAACGAGTTGCCGGGTTTCTGCAGAAGTCACCAGAGCACGGGATTCGGGGAATTTGGTTTCTCTTATTGTTCAAGGTCAGCGTCTCCAAGTGGGCACGACTCCTTACAGAACCCCGAGTCCCTCTGAGAATCTGACGACAAACGCGGATCTTGTTCACAAACGCTCAAACTTAAGCATACAACTCCAGGGGTCCCCTGCCTTAAGGACACCGGAGTTGCGCAGTTTGCAAGTGTGGGGGCGCGGGCGAGTGGGCCGCGCACCTTTCACCGCGGAGATGATGGGGCTTGAAGCGCCCAAGCGCTGTGGGCACAGTAGGGTGACGGCATTGGACGCGGGTTCCGCCCGGAGCGCCGCCAGGCTCTTCCCACGCACAGGCGACCACAGAGTGGGCAGAGAGAATGAGTAACCAGGAAGGGGCGGTCAGACGGTCCCTGGGGCACCAGTGCTTGCAGGGCGGACTTGCTGAACAGTGGTCAGGACTAGGGGCTGCGAAGCTGAGGAGGAGGGAAGGGGGAGGATGAAACCCACAAGTCTTCTGCTTCTGGGAGGACCAAGCATTTGCACCTGTTTCCTCAGTGACCCTTTAAGTTAGTTTTCTTTGTATGATGAGTGCACCCACATTTCAACTTGTGCCTATCAACTGCAGAAAGCCCACCTGGCTCTGCTGAGCCCCTGGACTCCAGGTCCTACTTGAGCTGTCAGTCTGGTGGAAAATCCCAGGTCCACTGAGCCAGGTGATCTGCTTGGTTAATAGCACAGAAGCCCAACTATTAAGTTAGGTGGTCTGGATTCTGTCCTGGATCTTAACAGTTGACTTCCAGGTCCCTGGCATTTGGCCCAGGTGAGGAAAGCAGTGAGAGTGGTCTGTGCAGCCTGGTCACCCTTGGGTGCCTTTCACACCCTCCCCTTTGGTTAAACATCCCCCATCCCACACACCCTGAAATTGACTTCAAGGATGAGTTCTGTAATGTCCAGGTTCCCACTTACGGAGACTTACCAGTGGTTGTTTAGCTGAGCCCTTCACACTTAATTTTAAGAAAACTATCAAGAAAATATGGTTATTTTGACAGCTTGACCTCCAGAGCCCCCCATCTGTTTGTGATTTGTAAAACATCAAACTCCCTTTGCTCCCAAAGGGGGAAAAAACAACTACAGTATTTGATCTTGGAAGTCTGTCAGGAGAGACAAGAGCATATTGACCTTTATGTTAAAGATACTTTTAGCTAGTCCCTGAGCAGTTGGGGGAGCACTGCAAAGAAATTTTATTTATGGAAAATCAGATAATTTACTTACAGAAAAATAAGAAGATCACCTACTGTTGCCAGACTATGTCTCTTGGGGACTCGAGTTACCAATTATGCCTAAATTATTCTGTCCTAGTAGAGTGGAAGCTTCCTTCCTTCTTCCTCGTTCCCAAGGAACGATGATCTAATATTTTGGTATGTACTTCATTTTTGTATAACAGTTCAGATTCTTTCTAGGGAGGTGCAGCAAGGATCTGCTGAGCTGTGTCACAGTGGCTCACCCAAATATAACTGTGGGATGCTCTCCCATGGGAAGCAGACCCACTGGATTCAGCAGGAGAGGATTCCAAATACTGGTTCTGGTTCACAGAAATATTCCTCTGTACCTGCTCCAGGAGATAAGCTGGTGTCACTCCCCTTTCACAGTAAATAGTGGAGCCTCTCTCTCCACGGTATGGGAGACCTGAAGATGGTTTTAACTGACCACAAAAGTTTAACCCAGGCTAGGAACCGTAGCTACCCGCCTACTCTGTCCCCTGCATGAGTCTCTTTCCTTCCTTTTCACGCCTTCTGAGCTAGAGCTGTCACGCTCACCATCATTATCACAAATGGTGATCGATATAGAGACTGCCTGTGGCTCTTTGATGAGTCAGAGTTTAGGAATCATTTGGTAGCTCCTAGCAAAGCAGCCAGCTGTTTGTTTGTGGAGTCCTGTATTTTTTTTCCCCCCAGCAATTGTAAACAATCCCTTCCCTACTTAGCATGAGAAGTCTGCCAACTTCTTAAAAGCAGCTGGCCTTCTGCGACCTGGGTTTGTAGTCTCAAATATCCCCGCTGTTTTCAGTCTTGGTGCTGCTTCTCTCTGTGATGTCAGGTTTGGGCTGAGTGCCTGCCTACATAGGTGAAGTTGAATGCCTCTCCTGTTAGGAGAAAACAAAAGGCAGGCCCTTTCAAAAGGGGGAGGGGATGTAAAACAGAGGACTACAGAGACAGGGTACACTTCTCTAATTCCACATACCATTGTGTGAGCTGCCCAAACAAGAGTCGGGGATGATGGGTACATTTGGTGTGTTTCAGCCTGGGGGCTAATGTTTAGTGTTGACCACAGCTTGTCTGCACTGTACTCTTTCTCTGGACTCTGCTGGCCATTCTTTCTGTGGTCTTGGGCCCTGTCCTCCTCCAGCAGCAAAATGGTGCAAAGACCACCACAGCTAAATGCCCCAAACTGAGATCGTAGGAGGATTTCAGATAAGCTCAAAGCAGGGCCTCTCCTCAAAAAGTGGACACTACATAAAATAGAGAAGGATGACAAGTGTTAAATTTTTGTGGGGCAGATTAAAAATTCAGGGAAAGAGCTCAGAATGAATTGGGGTGATCCAAGAATGCTTCAAGGAAGTGGTAGTTGAGGCACCTCAGACAGCCCCCCTGCCACCTCACCCCACCCCCCAAAGGAGTAATTTCAGCTATCTGTGCCCCAGCCACCCTTCTCTGAACCTCCAGCCCTGCAGTTGAAACTTTGATGTTGCTTTCCAGTATAGCTAAGGCTGCACCAGGAAGCAGGAAGTTTACCTTGGTTCCCTGGATGAGTAGTGCATAAGAAAATAAAAATAATAGTTAAGATTTTATGAATGCTTACTGTGTGCAAGGCACTGTTCTAAGAGCTTTATACAGTAGGCTGTTTTTAGGGGTTTTTTTACCAAGCAATCCAGGGACTAGCCATGTCAGTTTGACAATTTGGGTAAATTGTATTGGGGCAAATTAGCATAGAAATCTCATTGGCCTTAATCTGCAACTAAACCCTTTGGGGCTGCCACCGTTTTTCTTAAATGGCCTATTATTGCAAATGAAATGAGAAATAGGGCTTTTTTTTTTTTCCCTTGTCTCCCTTTATCTCTGTTGCCAAAATGGTCTTACTTTGAAATCTTTCCACTTTTTCTAAAGTTGTCTTAAAGTATCTTGGAATGCGATGTTAGTATAATAGGGCTGGGAGAGGTCTCTTATTCTAGGCCTGTGCCTGTAAAAATGAAGATTAGTAAGAACTGACTACAAAATAGCAACTTACTGGCTATGATTGAACGTAACGAAGAAAGCAGTCTCTTTAAATGGTTTTGCTTATTTTAAATAAATAAGTAAATGTCGCAGTGCCTAAACCGTGGTGGCTTTTCTTGCTAAAAATGCTCTGTTGTTAATTTTTCCATTGGCTTTGCATTTCCTTGAAATGGACATAATTGAACTCTCAAAACAGCCTCTAACTGAACATATTATTGCTTAGAAGACAACAAAAAGCAGGCAACATAAGTCAACCCCGTCGCCCTTCCTTCCAGGCCATACATCTGGAGCCCAAAGCCTAATAACCAAGCCAAAAGTGCAGGGTTTCTCTTTGGTTAAAGCTTTTTTACATTCTGCAGTGCGAGAACATCATCAGTTATGTCAAATTCTTCCGAAACCAGCTTTGGAAATGAGTCACTCGGGTTTAATGCACGTTATTGTCATTTCTGTGAGTAAAGCATGTGCTCCAATTCCATTGAGGAATGTTTTCAATTAGAAAAGAATAAGATGAAATATAAATATTTAAAATTTCTAAAGAATGGTCACAGCCTATGGCCCAGACTCTGAAATTTTTCTGCTACACCTTAAGTGTGTGATTGAGAATAAGACAGCTTCATTTTATGGTTCTCTATATGTGGAATTTAGGCTTTAGGTTTTTGTTTATGGTACATGTGTGTGTTTTCTTTAAAAACAAGCCTTCATGTGGTATTTTTGCACACAGGCTGTCCTAATTGCTTGCCAAAGCTGCTTTCGGCTTTGGTATATCATGGACCAGTCAAGTGACCTTCCGTTTTTGCCCCTTCTCCTCAACTTGGATTGAAATTTCTTAAGTTAGCTTTAAGGACTCAGAATTCTGCCCTCCCTTTCTTCTGAGCCTCTTTTCCTGCTGACCTTGGCGTAGTTAATTGACTGGTTGGTGGTTTGATGCCCCTACCATTGTGCAAATAGACAAACACACACTCACGGGCAACACAAAGCCGGGCCCAAAACACTCCCCTTTGGCTTGTTAAGAAAGTACCTCTGAGAGAGGACGTTTCTGCAGAAATCTCTCTGAAACCTAAAAATATCCTGTGTTCCTGAATGAAAAGGAGAAGGCTAAAGATATTAGGAGACTCAGTCAATGGTATTAAACAGGGTCTTACGGGGAAGATTAATGAATGATTGGTTATCCGTCAAGCCTATAGCCCCGTGGGTCCAGAAGCACTGCGTATACCGTCGGTGATGTCACATGCAAGCATTTTAGCAAGATACTTATTGTACTTATTGAAGTACTACTTGAGAGACTATTGTAGCACTAGGACCCTGGAACTTATTTCAAACCCTCTTCTTTTCTTTTTTTTTTTTTTAACCGTTTCCACAATGTCCATGGAATGAAAAGTATACATGTACCTCTTTTTACCCCATAGGTGTATGTCCAAAAACGATATCTCAAATCACATTTCAAACTCAGCAAAGCAACTCAGGAAATTAAAGGACTCTACTATATTGGTAGTGTAATTTTTTTTAAAAAAACCTAATTTATGTTTTATTGGTTGGCATTAGGAAACCTGCCCCCATGGGAGTTGAGAGAGTCGAGAACCTACCTTTTCGTTACACCTCAAGATTTCTCCTGCACCCTTTCTGTGGAAGCTCTTCAGAAATTTACTTTGAAATTACATTGTACAGTAGACTAGAATTCAGTCAGCCCCCTGCCCCAAATGATGGCTCAGCCTGTGAGGGAAATACCCACATGACCCAAGTTGTACCTGGACCTCCCTCAGTGACCTGGGAATCGGGCCGCTCTGTCTTTTGAGCCCTCACAAATTTATGAATTGTGAACTCGGCTTGCTTCATTTAGGTCTTCACCTCGCAGCCTGGTGCCTAGTGTCCATCAATTACATGAAACCTAAACAACAAGCAGTGTACACGAACCCTAGAGATGGAGTTTATAAGTCAGATTTTTTTGTAAATGGGATTCACGTTTTTAAGGCATGATACAAGCATGCTAGTTAAAAGCAGCTTGGGTACACTTTAAATAGGAGAATTGTATGGTATATGAATTATATCTTTTTAAAAAGCTTGGGGGGGGGCGCGGGTCATGCTTTTGCAAAATGAAGGCATTGTATATTACAGTGATACCAGTAATGGCCCCTCTCCCTCTCCCTCTATTCATCATTTTTGCTTAAAGTAATATTGTCATACCCTGCATTGCCCTTAGTTAAAGAGTGTAGGGCTGTGTGTCAAATACAATGGCAGGCACTGTTGGGAATTCAGAAACAGCAAAAGCGCCCATTCCTGCCTTCCACAGAGATGGGACAATTTGTGACCCTAATAGAGGGAGGTCTGTGCCTGTTTAGACTCCTTTGGAGGGATTTTTTTTATTGTTTTGTTTCAGAAGCATGTATGTTTGTGTCTTATAATCCAGTACGTTATTTATAGAAACATCTCATATTAAAGCATAGCTGTGACAAGGCACGTCTCCTCCTGTCTTCTGTTTCTCCTAGTTACCGCAACAGGGACGTATACAATAAGGAGAATCTTTTCAACAGCCTGAACTACAATGTGGCAGCCAAGAAGAGAAAGAAGGACATGCTGAACAGCAAAACCAAAACTCAGTGTAAGCCGTTTGTTTGGAACTTAAGACGAAAGCTATTCGAAGAAGATCGTTAGGATTGGTTCTTTGGAAGAAAAAAAAAAATCACACCTCGCATGTTAGACATCTGCTTCAATGTTTACTGTGTCATTGACAGAGGATACTGGAATCTTTGCACTCAGAAACCTGGCTGTGCATTTTACGAGCGAGATTAATGTTTTCTTTATAGTCTTGTTTATAAGTCAGTTGCTAGTTGGGCCGTATTTTGGTTGTTTTTTTTTCCTGCTTGCCCCTTATATTTGACATAGTTAATTTAGTTATTTATACAGCAATATGGTCAGCTGAATCAGGTCCAGCGTTTGCTTTGATTTTAAACTGTTTTGAGGCTTTGAAAGTAAATTTTTCTCCCTCTTTCCTTGTATAAATACTAGTAACATGTCTAGATGTTGTATGCGAATATTAACAGTATAAAGTTCTATTAATAAGCAGATTACAGATCTTTAGTTTAATCCATCTGTACTGCATGTTTCCCTCATATTATCTGTTTTATTTCAATGTTTTATGCCCTGGTATGAGTTGTAGGCTTGGCATTTAAAACAAACCTGTACTTGAGTGTTAGATTTTTATTTTTAATTTAGAGTGATGCGACACTAAATCTGAGTATCTAAGATTTGGAATGCTTCAGACAAAGTAAATTATAACTCCAGTATTTATATACTGCAGAAATTAGGCATTTGCATTCCTCTTAGATGGTCAGTAGAGTTTTTGTATTTTTTGTCAAAAGATTTTTGAAATAAGTGAAAAGGAAATGCATTTAATATCTTGGGCATGTTACAGATTTCAATGCCGGGCATTTTTTTTTTCTCTCTGTAGATTTCCACCAAGAAAAATGGATCTATGTTCACAAAGGAAGCACGAAAGAGGTGAGCGTCCATCTGTTTAATAAGTTTATTAAAAAGTATGCATAGCTTTATGCCTTCCTCAACGGAGTAGGTGGAAAACTGGGCAACAATATTCCTTCAAATCATGACTGTCTTCTTGGATGTGGATAGTGGTGGCTAGCAGACTACTAACTACCCGACCATCAGAGTTTGGGGCCACAGAGAGAGAGAAGCAAAAGTCACCAGGTGGGCCCCCCCAATCATTCAGCGAGATAATATATGTAAGAAGTGTTTATAAAGATTAATATGCCCACGTCAGATGTATTATTATAAAGTCTTGGCCCTTCCCTTGGGGTGGTGCCTCCTTTTTGTTCTAAGATCTCTTTAGATGGCAACTCAGTTAAGATTGAGCCCTAGAAGGGCGAGTCACTAAATATAGCAGAAGTTTTAGTGCCTGTTTGGTGTGGGGCACCGAGCTAGCTGTAGAAGGGGACAGGACACTGTAATAACTACATTTACATGGCACTTTATAAAACCCATTTATGTATACTTTCTGTCTGCACAGGCATTTGCTCAGACCACTAGGGTACAGGGCAGTATGACAGAATGATACAATGTCTATCGCTGTCAGGGACCTGGGAGAACATCTCGCTCCCAACTGTGATTAGAGGCCCAAAAGGGGTCACTGATCACCCTAGCCCACCCAGATGCTCAGAGCAGAGCTGGGACTATGAGTCAGGGCTCTCTACTCCCAGTTCATAGGTCAAAGATCAAAGCTTTTGCTTCTTCATGAAGCCTTAAAACATTTCTGATGATCACAATGAGAAAAGCACTAGAGATGCGATGCAAGGCAGCAGGCAGAGTTCATAGGTAGGTCTAATGCTCCTCCCAGGAGTATGTTATCACGACCAACCATCATCACCTCACACATCATATACCCAGCTCCCAACCTTTCCTTGATAAGCACCTCCTTATGGTTTTCCCTGGCTCATGCATGCAGAGAACAAGAGCCCAAATGGTACAAGTCACGAAGAGGGGTGTTAAACATGTTGAGTCATGACTAAAGCAGCTGCCAGCTGCACTGCCCCCATATTTATGGCTCTCAGAGGGTTCCCAGAAAAAGCATATCATGGCACGGGGAAGGAGCCAATGGCCATGGTTACCTAAGACAGGCATCAAACTCGTTCAGTAGAGTCCAGATGGATTGTTCTGGAATAACCTCTGCACACCTTCTTCTCGTGTTCAGCGCCATGGTTACTGCACATTGGGGGAAGCTTTCAACAGGCTGGACTTCTCAACTGCCATTCTGGATTCCAGAAGATTTAACTACGTCGTACGGGTAAGTCTCGAGAGCCCGCCCTATCCAGCCTCTCAAGTTGAGTTGTCTGTTTGCGTTGCCTTGAAGTGGTTTCTCCCCCGAAAAATAACTTTTTAGGACCCTGGGAATTTTGAGGAAAACAGAGAGTGGACTGACTCCTCAACTTCCCTCTCCCTCAACATAGTTCAAGTTCTTACATAGATCCCGGTAGGATGTCCCTGAGATTGGCCCGGACAGACAGGGACTGCCATGGTACCTCCAGTGAGCCACTCCCAGCCCCTGTGGAAAAACGGGAACATGCTACAGCCAGCACTGGCTCAGGTAGCAACATTAGCAAGAGAGAATTCAGCAGTAAGCAAGCCATAAATAAAGCATCTTAACTTGTTTTTAAAAACTTCTGCATCTCTGATTGTTCTCACTGTCCAATTCCTGGTCCTAATGCAGCTGATTCTAGTCCCCAAGGCTTTCGGGGTTTTCAGTCCTGTGTTTACCTAAAGCTTGAAACTTACCTGTTTAGGTCAGTTGCTTTCCTTTTTAAACCATATGTTGGGTGGGGGGAAGGTTTTTAATGAGCTTAAGCAAAATATCAGGGGTGAAGATAGTAAAGCAAGTACCGTATTTGCCGGCGTATAAGACGACTGGGCGTATAAGACGACCCCCTAACATTTCCACTCAAAATACAGAGTTTGTTATATACTCGCCGTATAAGACTACCCCCTCTTCCGCACACCTTCCACACACCAAATAAAAGGTAAAACAATATCAGATTTGATTTCAACATTTATATTTATATTCAAATGCTTATGACATGCAGGAAAACTGTCACAAGGCTGTATGTAATCAAACATACATAAATCGCGATTCGCGATTTTGCACTATCATACTGGGTGTACGGTCGGCTGTGTGCGATTTTGCGAGTGTGGTAAAATCGCATAACAGCAAAATCGCATAACAGCAGAGCATACACCCAGCAGCGCTGCTGATGCCTGAACGGTATGTGGAATGAAGTGGGTGGGCATCGGGAGGCCACTATGGCACGGGGCAAGCACTATGGGCAGTCTATCTGAAGTGTACCTGGCGTATAAGACGACCCCCCACTTGGAGGCATATTTTTCAGGGCCAAAAAATCGTCTTATACGCCGGCAAGTACGGTAAGTCTAGGATGACCTTCAAGTCAGTGATTCTTCTTAATTGGTTTATTGTTGTTTTTTCCCCTTAAGCCCCCTTGTGTGTTTTTTTTTTTTTTGTCAGTGGTTCAACCTGGGAGGTAGCAGCTGTTTGGGTTTTAGCCTTAGAAGTAGAAGGGAATTTTTCCCCTGTGGGTGTTGATTGGTTTGGTTTTTATTTTCTTTTTGCTGGGTTGTTATGCTTCTTGGTGCCATGTCATTGAGTCAGATGATTGCAAAGCCTTGGCCAGAGCGATGACATTCAAGCCCCCTTGAGGCCTGGATCATTCACCTGTCATCTGGGCAGATGCAGGGCCACCGTCCCAACTGACCTGATAAAAACTCAGGCCTCCTGTGGGTTAGAGGCTTTGGACTGAGCCCGTGACCACATGAGCAGATCTGTTCAGTCTTCTGCTAAGCCCTCATTCCAATCCAAAAGGTTGAAAATAAGAGACCGTCTTGATGCAATGTTCGGGTCACTCAGTGTGACTCTGCCGCTTCAGGGAGGTCACTGCAGCCTGCAACCCAGTCCAGGCTGGTTGGAGACAGGCCCAGGAAGAGCTGGAAAGTCTGTTGCTAAGAATATGAATAGTTTCCATAGCCTAGGTGTTAGAAGCAGACACCCAGATCTGGCATCTTGATTACAAACTAGTCAGCAAAATGGACTGTTTTTAGATGGTTCTCCTTCCTACCTGGTTTTCCTTTCACAAGAAATAATATTAAGCAAAGGAACAAGGATCAGAATAGTGAAAAAACTATTTCATGCAATTGTGTGCATTATCATCCATTATCCTTTCAATAACCCTATGAAACGTAGGTACGTTTAGTATCTCTGTTGAAACGAATGGAGGTACAGCGAGATAAAATGACTTGTCCAAGGTCATGAAGCTACACAAGTACAAAATCAGGGTCTGAAACCTGGGCAGTCGTAGTCTACACTCTTAACTGCTACAATAAGTTCAATATAAGCAGAGGATCGAAAGTAAAATGGCCTGGGGTCAGATCCCAGGTCCCCACTGTCAACACTTTCAGGGGTCAGATCCCAGGTCCCCACTGTCAACACTTTCAGCTTCTCTAAGACCTGGTTTCTGCCTCTGTATGAGGGACTTAGAATAACCTCAACTTCACAGGGTAGCTGTACTATACATAGAAAGACTCTGCAGACCAGACATTATTATGCAAAGTTAGCTACTAATATTTATTATTACTTGCTTACCAAAATTATCATTGATTCCCCCTAAAATACCTTATGCCTTTTCAATTTAGTTGCTAAAAGTGTTTTTCTACTTAAGATAATAATAATAATAATAATAATAATAATAATAATTAACTGGAGAATCTTGCAGTTGATTAAGACTCAGCACAGAGAGTTTGCATCTGATAACATCTAATTGCAAAATACATCATGAGCACTTTCTCTTAAATAATGTTTTAAGTTCGAGAAACTGCTGGATGCTTTCAGAGTTGTTAGGCTCAAAAGTAGTGGAAAAATATTTCTGTTTTGGAAAGAACAATCTTTTTTTCCCCTTCACTGTTAGAGCCCTCTGTAATTTGAGAAATAATATGTTATTTTTATGAAGAGCTTAAAACATTTTAATGATAGGCACCGCATTTTGAGGCTTTTCTTCTAAGGAACTCAATATACTTCTCATATATTCTTCTTATCCTTAAACCAACTCTGCAGAGTAGCTTGCCAGTATATTATTCCCATCTTACTAATGGTTTCTTAATACTACAACAATTCCTTAGTTCCAATAAGAAACCAAACCAACTTTGAAGGCCTTCAAAAAAATTTTTTTTCAATCTCTTTAAAGGCAAACTACATTTTAAAAAAATGTGTTGTGCTCATGCTGGCTGCCATCTTCAGAAAAAGACATGCAGAGGGAATAAAAGAGATGGATGGCCAGCGCTGCTATCTCAAAATGTTACAATTTTTATCAGTAAGCACAAAAATTTGGTGGAATTTTTAGAATCAAAAAATTTTAATATAAATTGCAAAGGTTTTTATGTAGCATTTTTACCTTATCTTCACTGGCTTTAGGCAACACTCTACCCCCTTCCATATATACCCCCAATGGCTTAAACATAGTTTTGTTTTTTTTAAGATTTTTGTTGGGGAATTGGGGGAAGGGGAACAGACAAGTTGCTGTCCTTTTGTTCTTCAGTCTAGTTGTGGAGGACGTTGTTTCACTGGCCCAAGTTGGGATCATCATTGCACCCTTCCCGGGTGAGGCAGATCAGTCGCCGGCTTCTGGATGGCCGCTCACAGCGGCTGCTGGCCGCTCATGCTGGCTGCTGGCCACACACGGTAGCCCATGGCAACCCACTGCAGCAGGGGCTGCAGCCTACACCATCGCCGGTGACTCACGGCAACCCAGCTCCAGGTCGAGCTGTTGTTCAGCATCTTAGCTGTGGAGGGCAGTGTCACTGGCCCTCATATGTGGGATCCGAACCAGGGCCCTCTGGCATCCCAAGCCAGTTCTTAACCAACGCACCACTTGGCCGGCCCTAAATATAGTTTTAACTGTGGGTTTTCAAGATGATTTAAAATCGTTAGAAGCAGCAATTTACTCACTTATGAAAGGTCATTTTTTTAAAAAATGGGTTTACACCATGCCTCAACACATTTTGGAAATTCCCCTGGGGGAGCTGGAGAGGACCCAGGAGCTGGGCTGATGGTGGGGTTGGAATTTAGTCACCCCAAGGAGGCGAGCGCTGACAAAGTCACCCAGGGCACTGAGAGGCCAGCAGAGAAAGTAGGTCTCCAGTAAACCAGGAGAGGGTTTCAAAGGCCACACACCAGCTCATGGCTCTGTGAGGTGACCCTCTGTGGCCCAGTGGTTCCCAACCCTGGCTGCACATCAGAACTACCTGCAAAGCTGATCAACAGAAGCCTACCTCTAACGCATCTGATTTGATTAGTTGAAGGTGGTGCCCAGGCATTGCTACTGAAATGTATCCACCAGGTGATCCCAGTGTGTTTTCCAGTGTGTGAACCAGCTCAGAAGCTACTTGGAAACCCAATGTTGTATTTCGCACACTTAAGTTTTTAAACAAGACACACGGAAGCCTGTCCACAGGAGAGAGCTTTCATTCTCTAATGCCATGATGGCCTTTGACCTGGTTCTCCCAGCTTTCTCTATGGAATGAGAATGTGGTCACGTAGATGGTAACCATAGATGCCACGTTCAGACCAGGGCGGTCCTGGAGCACCTAGAGTACAGGCTTCCTGAATGAACTGACCCACAACTAGCAGATCAGGAAGGACAAACAAAAGCTTGCAACCCTGCCCCTTTGCAGCAAAGAACTGCACAACCTAAACCCATGCACATTCTTTTTTCCCCCTTGCCTTACCACCCGAAGTCCACTTGAATGTTTCCAGCAAGTTATGCATTCCTACCACCCTGAAAAGTCTCTTCCAGAAACATGTTTTAGTTTAAGTTGACTGGCGGTTTGGCAAACGCAAGGCTGAAATATGGCACTATGACTCAAATGCGAACCCAATGCCCTCAATTAAAGGCATGCTGGTGCCAGCCCCGGGTGGGTCATGACGTGCTTGAGCAGCCTGGCCACCTCACCAGGTCCCTGTGCCGCAGTGACCTTGGGTGCATCTAGTGCTGCACACACGCGGTGGCCTTCCTTTGATGGAGGGTGGCTTCTGCCACTTGGATCTTATAGCTGGTGGTATCTTTTTCCATTGGGGCTGAGAAGCTGGGATAGAGGGAAGGAGGCCCTTAGCGGCAACGAAGTCAAAATAGCCGAGCCACCAGCCCGCGTGAAAGTGACGCGCAGAAATGGTTGGGAATTGGGAGAACCCACCGCAGGGCACTGCCATGGTGAGGCCACAGGGCAGGT